GTTTGTTATGTTTTTCTTAACAAAGTAAGCAGTTGGCATTTTTATATCTTTTTGGGGTTGAATATTGTATAAATTGGCGCAGAAAAACAATGTTCAGGAAACATATTTTTTAATAACATAAATTAAAAATATCATATAGCCATAATCGAAATAATTTATGCAATGAAAAAGCGCGATTCCAGTTAACGATTGTTGAATAAATTAATTATTTCTATGCGCCAATTTTATCTTACATTGGTCTTTCCTCGCCTACTCATGCATCCGTGGTCCCATGGCTTAATTGATTCCATGGTCGAGCATGGAAATTCGAAATTCGTGGTCCCATCAATGGTGGTCGAGCACGGATCTCGAAATAATGTTGATAACGATCGACCACCAAATAATGGTCGACTATCAACACCAATTTCGGACACAAATAGCGGAAACTGAGCCGAGCTCTGCGCTATGTATTTTGCGAAAAACGTCGAGAGAATCGATCTCGATTTTTGGATGTAAACAGCGGAAACTGAGCTCAGCTCTGCGCTAAGCATCCTGCATAAATATATTTTATTCTCGCGCTTGAAACAAAGGCACTTTTTAATGTTAGGATAGGATAATTATAGGAGAGACATAAAATAGGCATGAGATTTAATTTATATTTGCAATTAACATAAAGATGTTTTCTAACGCAATAAGGTAGGATAATTTCGGGTGGGACATAAATTGTACGTGAAAAGTACATGAAATATGATTTATTCTATACATATGTATGTCGAAATAAATGTATTTTCCAAATTAACGACACTTGCGATTAATAAAATGCGCTAAACTCTTCGGTTTTTGCTTGCTAATCAATAAATGATCGTATACTTTAATTTAATTGAGTTCTAATTGAGTAATTTTTTGAATGTCAGTTCCTAACAAATTTACAACAGGAACTTATTTATTTCGACGTGTAACGAGAAAATATAATTTTTATGTTACTTTCTTTTCTCAAATCAAGATGACCTTAGTAAGAAATTAGGAATTTTTGATTCGAAATAATCAAATTTCGGGCATTACTATAAATCACGTGACATATTAAACAATATTATTGTTAAACCATTAGTTTTTCAAATCTAATCTTCCTAGTTTTCTCTAAATATTGGTCGTTGTGTCGTTTATCAATGCTAAATTGCCGATATCGGGCACATATTAGTTCGTATTTTCAATTGGCAAATTTTTCCTCGATAGCTTTTCACGATTCTATAACGAATGAACATCTCACAAATATATCTTTCAGCGCTTTGATCGATTTCAATCCTCTTTGAAGCGCAAAGGATATTTATCCGTGTGTACGCGGCGT